TGCTGTAGGTGACCCTGCTCTGGAAGGGGGGTTGGACTAGATGATCTCCAGAGGTCCCTTCCAACCCTAACCATTCTGTGATTCTGTGATTCTGTATTGTAGAAACTTGGTGGGATGACTCCTATGACTGGAGTGTTGCCATGGAAGGCTACAGGCTCCTTAGGAGAGACAGGCAAAGGAAACGAGGACGCAGTGTTGCCTTATATGTTAACAAGCAGCTGGAATGCTGAGCTGGAGCTCAGCCTAGGGATAGATAATGAGCCAACTGAGAGCCTATGGGTCAGGATTAAAAGGAAATCGGGAGCAGGGGACATTACACTGGGGGTCTGCTACAGGCCACCTGACCAAGAAGACCAAGTGGATGAAGCCCTCTATAGACAGAACCTGGTCCTCATGGGTGACTTCAACCACCCTGGCATTTGTTGGAAGGGTAACACAGCCAGGCATAGGCCATCCAGGAGGTTCTTGGATTGCATTGAGGACAACTTCCTTCTCCAAGTGGTTGAGGAGCTAACGAGGAGAGGAGCAATGCTGGACCTTGTCCTTACCAACAAGGAGGGACTGATAGACAGTGTCAAAACTCAAGGGCAGCCTGGGCTGTAGTGACCATGAAATGGTCGAGTTAGAGATCCTCGAGGCAGCGAGGAAAGTGTGCAGCAGGCTGACAATCCTGGACTTTGGGAGAGCTGACTTTGGCCTCTTGAAGAAGCTGCTTAGTATGGTGTCGCGGAGCGAAGAGGGGCCCAGGAAAGTTCATTAATATTCAAGGACCGCCTCCTCCAAGCTCAGGAGCGATGCATCCCTACAAAGGGTAAGGCAGGCAGAAAAGTCAGGAGGCCTGCATGGATGAACAAGGAGCTCCTGGACATGACCAAAAGGAAAAGGGAGGCCTATAGGGGGTGGAAACAGGGGGAGGTAGCCTGGGACGAATTCGAGCAGCCAGGGATCGGGTTAGACTAGCTAAAGCCCAGATAGAACTCAATCTGGCCACGGACATTAAGACAAACAAAAAATCCTTCTTTAAGTATGTCAGCGAGAAAAGAAAGACTAGGGAAGATGTGGGCCCTCTCCGGAAGGAAACGGAACAGCTGGTTACCCGGGACAGAGACAGAGCTGAGGTCCTCAACAACTTTTTTGCCTTAGTTTTCACTGGCAAGGACTGCAGCCACACTGCCCATGACGCAGAATGTAAACGCGAGGATTGGGAAAATGGAGAACCGCCCACTGTAGGTGAAGATCAAGTATGAGACCACATGAGGAACCTGAAGGTGCACAAGTCCATGGGACCTGATGAGATACATCCACGGGTCCTCAGGGAACTGGCAGATGAAGTTGCTAAGCCACTAGCATCATATTTGAGAAGTAGTGGTGGTCTGGCAAGGTTCCTGATGACTGGAAAAGGGGAAACATAAGCCCTGTATTCAAAAAGGGTAAGACGGAAGACCCAGGGAACTACAGGCCAGTCAGACCCATCTCTGTGCCTGGCAAGATCATGGAGCAGATCCTCCTGGAAACTCTGCTGAGGCACATAGAAAACAAGGAGGTGGTTGGTGACAGCCAGCATGGCTCCACCAAGGGCAAGTAATGCCTGACAAATCTGGTGGCCGTCTATGAAGGGGTTACAGCGGCAGTGGACAAGGGAAGATCAACTGATGTCATCTACCTGGACTTGTGCAAAGCGTTTGACACTGTCCCACACGATATCCTGGTCTCTAAATTGAAAAGACATGGATTCGACAAATGGACCACTCAGTGAATAAAGAACTGGCTGGATGGTCGCACTCAAAGAGTTGTGGTCAACGGCTCGATGTCCATGTGGAGAGCAGTGACGAGTGGCATTCCTCAGCGGTTGGTACTGGGACCTGTACTATTCAACATCTTTGTCGCGGACATGAACAGTGGGGTTGAGTGCACCCTCAGCAAGTTTGCCAATGATACCAAGATGTTTGGTGAGGTAGACACGCTGGAGGGGAGGGATGCCATCCAGAGGGACCTGGACAGGCTGGAGAGGTGGGCCCAAGCCAACAGTTCAACAAGGCCAAGTGCAGAGTCCTACATCTGGGTCAGGGCAATCCCAAACACAAATACAGGCTTAGCGGGGAATGGCTGGAGAGCGGACCTGAGGAGAAGGACCTGGGTGTGCTGGTTGACCAGAAGCTCAGCATGAGCCAGCAATGTGCAATCGCAGCCCAGAAGGCCAATCGCATCCTGGGCTGCATCAAAAGAAGTGTGGTCAGCAGGTCAAAGGAGGTGATTCTGCCCCTCTACTCCACTCTCGTGAGACCCCACTGCATCCAGCTCTGGAGTCCCCAACATTCCATTCTAACTAAAGTTCCTTTTGGTAATTGGATGCATTGAAGTTGAAATTGATAATTAACTGTCTTGCAGCTTAAAAGATCATTATAAAGTCAAGCACCTAACCCAGATAATTACTATACCTGACATTTTTCTTTGAATTCTTCACCTTCTTACAGACTGTGGTATAAAATACCTTATCTGTGTCTCCAGATGACAGCTTTTAAAAAACTAATCCCCCTTTTTTCCCCCTGAAAATATCATCTACATCTTTCTGGAAATTCATTCTAAAGATGTTAACTAATTGGATTTGACCTACAGTGAACATCTCACTTTCATTTTTCCTATAAGGTAAATTCTAATCTTCTACCAGAAAATATAGTAGAGTAGAAAAGGAAATATTTCTTCACTACTTCAGTAGTTTTAACTATGTAAAATTTCAAACATATTTTCATAAGGATTGCTGAAAATGCTTCACTTCTGAAACTTAGTATACAGGGAATCAGTTATACAACAACTATTATGTCTGTTCATGAATCTAGTAGTTCTTACTTCAGTAGAAAGACTTAGTAACTGTAGAAGTTTTAAAAGGCAGAAGGTCCTTCAGGCATATAGTCACTCGTGATCTATCCTTACTGATGTATGTTCCTGAAAAGTCAAAGTAGCTGTTAATAAGGATATGTTTACAACACATGAAGTTCTGGTTATAGTACAATACTAGTACATAATTAGCCTATTCATGGTAACTTTAATCCAATGAGTAGAGATAGCAATCATAGTGATGACATCACTCTTCCTTAAGATGACTCGGCAACATGTCTTCAACATGAGTAGTAAGAAGTCTGATCAATATATTTCAAAGCTACCACAGCGGACTTGGGTATTTAACCTTCCTGAGTTCTGCCACCTGTGCCTGTGAGATAAGTTTGCCTGGACGTGACTATCTGCAGCACAGTCTCCCGTTAATCTGACTATAAGCCCTTTTCTTCAGCAAAACAGTGCTTTATTCATACAGAGGTAGAGACAGAGAGCAAATAATACAACTCATTTTTGTTTTCATTGACTTCTGTCAGCTGACTGATATCCTTTCTTTTCATAAAATTAAAGATCTCCAAGGCAGACTCCTCCAAAGTTACAGAGCTAAGAGATTAAACCTGAGATTCCAAAAAGTGCCACTTTCTTGCATTCAGATATGTTCATGATGACAAAAAGGTATTGGAACTAGAATAAATGTATCTGCAAAAGAATTGGAGCGCTTTGTATCAGTAAAGAGATGCTAATGGCAAGGCTGCCCAAGCCCCATATAATCAAAGGAAGTAAAAGTCTTACATTTTTTCTTTAACGAAAGAAGCAAGCTTTTACTTATTTCTGACTCTTAGCACAGAAATTACTGATACTTGATATGAATTCAAAGAAGCATTCAAAGCAGCAAAATGGCATCAAGCTAAACAGAGTGCCGTGACATTAAATTGATTTTCAGACTGAATTTCTCCCTATTTGAGAACTAAGTGCTAAAAAAGCCCTGGAATATATATAAAAATTACAGAAATTTGTTATGGGAACACAATCCCCCCCAATTCTCTCCCTGTTAAAAAAGCAAAAGAAAGTCAGGTGAGAAAGTGAGGCTTTTACCTGTTTCCCCTTCCCTCTGTTTACAGACAAAGGGAAGAAAATTAAAACATGATAAAAAAATCTGCTGCTGCAAAATTAACAAAATTTTTACTTTGTAACAAATAAAACACTTTTCTACCAGACATGCAGTTGAAGAAATACTTTCACTTAGATGTCTGTAACTGACAGGTCTACAACTGCCTCCAGTCAGTGCTTGAACCAGAGATCAAAATTGATAGTGATGGATTCTTCCATGTTTATCTTAAGAGGCGATATCCTTGTGCTGAAAATAATCATCAGAATTCAGAAACTGCTTTAAATGAAATGGGTTTAGTGTTGTGCAAAACAGCTCTAGTATATGGATAAAAGTTGCTCTTGTCTTTAGCCGTGGTCGTGTTTCTGTCTTGGGGGCAGGGACTCTGTAAATTAGTAATGCACTTTAAGTGCCCTCCTATATAAATTAATATTATTGTTATTATTGTTGTGTCCCCTTCACTCTGCAAAGCACTGATAGTTACTCCCCTGAAAATGAAATGTAAACTCTTCTTGACATTTTATCTTTTTCTATTTTTATTCAGTCACATTGCTTCTCCAAAGGTTTGCTTGCTATAGAAAGACCTTTCTCAATGACACTCATTTAATTCCATGGCATGTGAGACATTCCTTTTTTGAAAAGGCAAGCAGCTGATATAGCATGCTGTAGCACAAAAGGAGTAAGTTAAAATGCCAAAAAATATTTCTGGGGAAAGGAAAGTCAAAATATACTGATATACGTCCTGTCACTTAAAGGCCATAACCATCTTGTTCTAGTTTATGATGACATGATGCTATAAGTGATAAAGGCAATTATGAATTTAAAAATTACTCCCATACTATTATCTGTTACCACGCACAGACTGTTTAAACATTTTTTTTTGTCTACGACTCAATGAATCGCTTAGCATGTTGTGCTCTTCTTATGCCAACTTTCAAACTGTAAGTGAAGTAATCGACATATTTGGTAATACCTTCTGAAGCTGCCAAAAGGAATGCTAAAAATGAATAGGTGTGACAGAGGACCTCTCAGGAAGGTGTTTTTTACAGGATATACTTACTGCTATTTGGATTGTCACCTATAATATGATGTCGGCCACTCCAGTACCAAAGCAGCAACGTAGCGTCACGAGACCCCGACACGATGTAGCAGTCACCACCGATATAGGACTCTGATCTGGCAAGGCAAGTCACGACATCCCAGTGGCCAAACACAATCTGAGTCAATTTTCCTGGTGGGAGTGCAAAGTGGTACAAATTCAGGTTTTTGAAGTACTTGCAGTATTGAGAAATCATTAACTAAATCATTAACAAATATTCAGTTCAAATGTAATTTTTGCCTCATGTCTCTTAATTAAAGTTCACTACATGATACAACAAGATTAAAAAATAACAAAGATTTTTTCTTCTCTTTTCATGTTCCCATTGAGGGCTGTGCTCTGTGTCAATCCACAGCCTAACCCTTATCTCTGAAAATCATCAGTGCTGCAGTCACTGAATATTAAGCGGAGTTACTGCTCCATCAGTATTTAAGCAGTGGCGTTACAACACTATTTGTGAATTTCATGAATGATATGCATAAGTCAGTACATGAACTTTTCCATAATGGTGCTACATTATTATATTAAAAATTTATATTTGTTCTCTGTTAATGTCAAACTAAGGTTTACTATGATCATCACCTCCTTCTTTCTATTATTGCAATCAGTTTTTAGCAATGTACTGCATGATATTAGGCTAAGCAATCAGACAAGGAAACAGACTATAGGTTCCCGGTAGCAGGCTATGCAACCTACTGCCTTATTACATGAAATAAATAGAGATAGAAACAATACAGCCATGAAAATATTGTAACAAAAATTTGGGGTTTGATATGATTGATCCCTGAATATAGCTATAGTTTTCAAAAGTTACCGCTAACAAAATCATATGCCTTTCCATTTCCTTTTACATCCTATATCTTCCAAAAAAAAAAGTATCTTAAAGCTAGTATGCTCAAACAATAATGAAGGATTTTATAAACTGCCCTTTATCATTGATTGAGGGGTAAGCACAGGCATTAGATATGGGAGTATCAAGACAACCATCCACTTTGTGACCTAAGAAGAAACAGGTGGCTGTATTTGGGGTCACCTGTTTCCGTAGAATAAACTCGAAAGCTCTTGTCCCAGAAACCACAGATAAGAATGTAGCGATTATCTGCTGTGACCACGAAGCAATGTGCATTGATCTGGATGCTCTGATCCACAAGGTCTGTGATCTGCCGTTTGTTCACACCAGAGTTATTGGCTGTAACGAAATGCAAAACACATTTTACAAGTAAGTCATTCCAACACCTTCCTGTCATCCACTTACAGGAGAAAATGAATACATTTAACTTTCAATGAACTGTGAATTTGTTGTTGAGTAAGCATTTTGAATATGAACATTTAGAGCTGTCTATATGGGTGTCAGAAATACAAAATTATTGTGAGATTTCTGGTTTCCCTTTGAATAAGACAAAAGGTTTTACAGGAGATGACAATTTCTTATGCACTGCATAATGTGTGGTAATATTTTGAGTGCTCTGTTGAAGTAGTCTCCAAAGCCAGCTTGAACTAGGGGAAAGTGATGGAAGGCATTTAAAATACCAAGTCAATTCCAACAATACTGCAGAACGTCAATTCTTGCTGCTTGGTATCTCTCATACAGAAAATATCCCACCTTGTATTGTGTGACCTTGACATCATCCCATACCTGCAGATGCTTAACTGGATCCAAGATGTAGGGATTCAACCAACAAAGTTATTAAAATCTAATGTGCACTTTCAACGCTGCCTTATCACCTACTCCTCAAGCAAAGAGCCAGGCCATGGGAGGCTGTGTTAAAAGAAGCAATGCTACCTGGAAATTCCCCCAGACAGAGGGAAAAGGAATGGTTCATGCAGAATCCTACCACGCCGACTGTCAAATGGAGCTGTTGGAAAGGACTGGGAGTAACCAGATAATGTGCTCTTTACTTGCTATGACTCAACAGACAGGATTTGGCTATACAATAAAGAATAATTTCTAGAAGTTCAGTATATAATCTAAGTTAATTATCTACACTCTCTCTATACTCACTGGAGAGAGAGACATCGCTTCACGTGGCAAGTCATCTCACGCTGTAATAGCTGTCCAAGCACTAGACAACTCCAGAGGATGGTTTCTCTTTCTACAGTAGCTATGGAGGGAATCTTGACAACTAACTTCAGCTAATTGAAGTTAGGTGAGATAAAACTCACTCTGAGAGACATATTTCTTCTAACGTAAGAACATGACTTAATGCAGATAATATTCTGATATTTCTTTTGTCCCTATTTTTGGTTATTCTATTAAGCTGCTCATAACTGCACACAATAAGAGACTCAACCAAAAAAACCCCACCCTATTATAAATTTGCTTTTAGAAGTTAATATCATGTTTATATACATTCCAAGAACACATATTTAAATTACCAGACCCTCTATGTCCATCCACTGAAAGATAATGAATAACAAATTACTCAAATTTCCAGAACAGGTGGGCACAATAGTTGTGCCCTAGCTTTTGAGAGGAAAATATGAAGAGAAAACCATTGTCATTATATGAGCAAATGAAGCATACAGAATGAGAAAGCTAAGTCTCCTGAGGTACTTGTATACAAATCATTCAACCGCGAATATTGACACAGACAGAAAAGGAACTTTTCATCTGGAGATGTTTAAAAATGCATTTTTTTCTCACCAATGCAGCAAAATTGTCTCTAAGAACCTTCCCTACCCCCAATTTCTGTCTCAAAAATGTGCCTATGGCAAAATAAATAAACAACCAACCACAAAGCAAATAGTTGCAATTAAAGAGAAATAACGACCGTTAAGAATACAAGTCCTGCAATCTCTCTAATGTTTTTAGCAGATGCTATTTCTCAAAATACTTCACTTCCTTAAATATTTTTGAATTTGAAAAATACAACCATGCATCAGTTTAAAATCCAGTCTTTTCTTTATTAATTTAGTAATCCCGACTAAAGCAATCCAAATAATAAATTGAATGAAAACAAATGGATCTGCATCTGCACTGATATACACAGTGCTGGCTGTAAGAAATGAAAATATGTGAACTCTACCAGACCCTCACATTTTATTTTACAAATGTGACCTGATAAAAGAACAGAATTATAGATATGGGCTGACAACGTAACTGACTTAATTGGTTGTTCCTTAAATACCAATTGCTGGGGATGTTAATAATAGCACTCACGTAATTCATTCAGCATCAATAGCTAATGCTTTTAGTTCTCCAGGACTGACAAGAATAAATATTTTCCTATCTTCTGTGTTAAATGAAGCATAATATACAAATATAGCTTAATCGATAATTCTTGAAAATGCCATTTTCAAATATATTGCTACATTTTCATCCCAACATACCAATCAATGGATCCATTTCGATTGGAAGATGATGGGCTTGATCCAAAGAATATCCTGGGGCTCCCCGAAGGCCTACATGTGAAAGGAAGAATAAAGGACATAGGAACCTCGTTGTCTCAATTTAAATATGATTTTTCTAGGTTTAAAACTGCATTATTGGATTATTATATATAAAAAAGTAACTTCTTAGTATTACTTGTTCTATGAATCTTTTAAGATTCCTTCCTCTGTGCGACACAAATATGCATTTGTTAATTCTTCCGTTATGTCATAGTAACTATAACTGTATGAGCGCTAATTTCATCATGATTTCTGCAGCCACAAACATTCGTTTAATAGCTCCTTTAAAATAGTGTAACAGAGATTTTCTTTACACATTTCAGCACTGGGTGAGATCTTCTAATAGCACAGAAAAGAAAAATAATTGGATTAAACATTGTTATGAGTTTCTTACACATGGAAACCTGTAAGTGACAGAAACTTGGATCTTTTCACGGTTTTATCTAGAATTTTTAGCTGGGAAATTGTGTGCTACAGTGAATTTGTCACAATTATTCCTATTAGTTCTATCCTGAGCAGTCCTTAAGCTGTTCAAATGTGCATCAGGGGCTGCATATTTAGAGTTATCTGCTCTCATGCACGGATAGCATTGCTTTGGCTATTCTGAGCACTTTGCCTAGCATGTATATCAGAATGGTCATTACTGAAAACATCATTTTTGTCAGGAACTGACGTGTTTCACAAGAATATCCTCCATAAGAGGAGATACAGAGTCTGGAGAATAAACTTAATTTTCTACTACTGCAATAGACAACCAGAGGAGGTAAAGGAAAACAGGGTCTACAAGTGGCCCTTGCATCTTCTGAAACACACTGCTCTGAGAATTTCTCCTTCCCTTCTTTCTCTTCTTTCAAAACCAAACCAGTTTGGGACAGATCTTTACAGGTATTAACCTAGATTAATTTGCTTCTATTGTGAGATGGTTACTTTGTAAATGCCTTCTACTGTGTATAAATTCTAAAGCTCTACATACATCTCACAGCAGTAAAAGTGATCTGTGTATACATTTCTGTAGATGAACCTATCCTTTATACTAGAGTTGTGATTTATTAAAATAATATTATGGTAATAGGAGGAAATTGATACCATGTCCTGGATTAGTCTTGCAAAATAAAAGACATTGCCAGACAGGACACAAAAGTGAAGAAAATCATTAGAATGAGTTTTGATTCTCCAAACAGTTCTGTTTTCCCATCTCTTCCTGTCACAATATATTCAGAAAGTATTGCTCTCTTTGAAATTTACACCAGAGGTTTTAAAATGGTGTGAAATTTAGTTCATGGTTGATTCATGATGTGAATCCTGCATGTTTGCAACATGACTTATGTCTTACAAGAAGATATATGAAAAACTAAAACCTAACAGTCACATGCATCGTAAAGGCCAACATGACTTCTACTGAAGTAGATAACTTCAAATAATAGTTGTTAAGTAAACTCTTGAAATCCAGGATACTGCAATATTAGTGACCTTGACTCCTTCACAGTAAAGTATGGGTAGGAATTCTGGCTTCCCTTCACTTGGCAGTCTGGATAAGAAAGTGGTACTTGAGTACTAAATAAGCCTCCTCAAATGGAGAAGACGTGAACGATGATGAGTAAAGAGTACTTGGGCAGCACCCCTGAAAAAGCCAGGGAAACTAATTAGGAATTAGTCAACCAATGTTTGCCAAAAGAGTATTAAAATACCAGGGGACAGTTTCTGTACCTCTGAATAATTTCTGACATCGGGCTCTTCCATTGAGGACACCATCACAAAATATTTTTAAAAAATGTTTTGTTTGGGTTTTTTTCCTTCTAAATTTTTCCCTTTCATTTTAAAGACATGGGCAAAACATTTTTACATCTAATGCAGTTGCACCTGATAGAGTATCATAAACGCATGGATTTGTGAAAGGCAATCAGATACTCTGTTCTTTTCCTGTCGTAGGCTCTAAACCACCACGCAAAGTTTGTTTGTAAACAGAGAACAGAATAATGTGAAATTTAATATTCATGCTAACATTATTTAAATGTTAAGAATAAAAGTAATATTAAACCTTATATTACTATTCAAGAATTCAGAGTGTTATTAACTTTACTTGCTCTGGTATTTCTTCTAATGCATGCCTATAAGGGAATTCCCGTTCATTCCTCTAATTATTGCCTGTAACACCAGTCTTTGGCCAGACAGAAGTGGGAGATAGAGGTGAGATCCCAGAGGTGGGATCTGTTTCACCTGACTTGAATTATTCACTGAGGAGATGTTTACAATTAAGTTAATTAAATCCCTAGGTAATCTAGAATGCCTGTATGTCTACTGGAGGTAGATATCTAAACTAAATATCACAAATCCCTCTCCAGGAGGACCTACTTCTGTCCTGGGGTTTCTTCTGTGTGTAAGGAGTGGAGCATTTTTCTTTTTTTGCCAGGTCCCTACAAAGTTCCTGAACCAGCTACTGAGTCACATTCTCAAAGACTAAGTACCTGCTCGTTTTTCCCGGTGGTAAGAAACCTTCAAAAGTTTCCAGATACTGCAGCATAAGGGATATCACAGCAGGAAGGTACCTTAGAAAATGAAACCTGTTCATTCCCTCATCTACCTCATGGTCCCACCACCTATTTAGCACTGCCTGGGACAACCTCAGTGCCTATACATCCAGTTGAGGAGACAGGGCAGTCCTAGCAGCAATATGGAGAGGTTGGAAGAGGGGCTGGAAGGAAAATTTGGGATGACCTTGTTGGATGGGCTTTTGGGAGGGAATGAGGAAACTTCTCTTCAGAATAGTTTGGTTTCCAGCTGCTGAGGCTTGCTTAGGGTCCCACATTATCTAATGGTGACCCAGGGGAGGGCTTACGACAAGCTCCTGGACAGACCTGAAATCTCTCTCAAGCAGCAGACAGTGATGTACGCTCTCTAGCATGCCAGTATGTACTCCTGAAACATGGGACATATTAATATCGGCTGTGTCAAGAGCAGCAGCACTCTCCTGAAAAGCATTATATCAAAGGCTGATCCTGATGTAACCACAAATCGATTGGCTGCCATGGTGATGTGCTGCTGTCAGGGAAAGTGTTTCTAGTAATGACACCAGAGAAAACACAAGCTTTGATTATTTGACACAAACCAGAAAACACGGTAAATTTTTGTGCATGGGCAGGTGAGTGAGATTGACCCACATCTAGCTAAATTGCACTCAAAATTAAAGCTGCACTGTTAAGGTCTTTGAATTTGAATGAAACGTGCCTGTGAGAACCTACCTACTGTGTTGTGCCACCGATTGACTGCAAACAGCCTGCTGCAAGTGACGGTCACCACGGCAGGAATGGTCAGGTGGGGCAGCGTGTTGGCTGCCACGTGTGTGACGGGGGAATTTGACGGGAACTTCAGCACCATGATGACATCCTGCTGCATCTGATCTTTAAACATGAGGGGGCTCTGTGGAAGGAAACACTGTTGAGTAGAAAGGAGAAGAGAGCAGAAGAAAACAGAAGGGATAACACAATTAGTGAGGAGGTCTGAGGGAAAACGAGGTTAAAAAAGAGCAGGCAAGCATGTGCACATACAGGGAAAACAACACTACCTTCGCGTCTACACTAGTGATGGAGGAGAGCAAGATCAGAAGCTATTATTGGATCATTACACGAGGGCAAGTAGAGAATAGGTATGGTAAGGGTTATCGTTACAGGGCGCAAAATGACAGTTAGCATTAATTAATATACAGTAAAATGTAAACTCATACAGCAGTTAATATTCATACAGTAGAGATATGAATCAAATAAAAGATTTAATTAATACATCATAAATATAAATGCTATAAATTACAGTGGTTAAAAAAAGAAATCTTAAAAGCGACTCAAAAACTCACAAATATTCAGTTTTTCTTAACGAGGTCTTTATATGAAATATAGCACTTCCAAACACAGTCAATTTAATTCTATGTAAAGTAAATACTTATTAGGGCATCTATAAGTAATTATAAGCCCATTTGACGATTCTCCAAGTGACACAGTTTTTTGTACTTCGATAATAATACTGTTATTAAGTACTGGTTTTAATGTTATTTTTTTCAACCATTGTTATAACATAGAATTATTTCTAGAAGTTCAAATAATCCTTTCTACTTATCACTTTAAATTATAATTAAAGTATATTATCCATATAAAAAATAAGTATTATGTACGTTTGACATCTACACATTACTTGAAATAACACAGCTCACACTTCCAGATCAATTCCTACTTTCCCAGTGTACAACTAGATAGAGTGATTTCCTTGTAGATAGATAGATAAAATGATTGAAACTACTGCATATATTACTGTCGATTTACAAAACTTAAAAGAAAATATCTCTAAGCATTTAATCAAAGGCACTGAGGGGCACAGAGATCTGTCTCATTCAGTCTGGCTATTTCATATAATTCTTTGCAAGAGGCACAGGGATGAATGCATTGGGAATGAATTTTGAAGTTCAAATTGAAATTCAAAATATACATTGTATTCTCCCAGGGGAACAGGCGGGAGGATTCCAGCACAATTTGAACTCCAATACTTCATTTTTTTTCAAGCAGGCATTGTTCATAAATCAGCCCCTAACAATGCATCCTTCAAAAAAAACCAAAACAAAACAACATGCTCACTCTAAGAGAAGCCTGCAGTCATTCCCACTACTCGCAGAAATCAGAATGTAAATATGTAGTTATCAAGTGTATATTTATGAAGATAGGGCCTTTTTATACAATATTAGACAGGAAAAGCCAGGACTAGAGGAAGCCAAAGCTATTCAAACCTCCACCTTGCTCTGCAAGAGCACTGCAGAGAAAGTGCGGCTGCACGGGCCGCGGAGGGCATTAAAAGTGTTGCTTAATGGGTACTTCATGACCTACAAAGGATCCTCAGGTTCAAAGGGAATGCATTCCCGGCCAGCAGTTATGTCTCACCAGGTGCATGGCAGAGCTCCGAGGTGGATGGGGCTCAATGAGCAACTGCGATGGCGTCTGTCCAAAGTTCTGTATCTGCGCCTCCATGGCCTGCGGGCAAGGGAGAGGGACTGTCATGAGCAATATGCATCAAGGAGAGAGGTCAACACACTGTGTGACAATGCAGGCATATCCCAAGTCAGCCATGAAAAAAGTCCAGAAAATTCACCCGGTGCTCTCCTCCCAGGCTGCAGACTCATCCAAGTGTTAGTATTTTGTAGACAAGCTTTGCTTCTCCTTTCAAGCATGCTTCAGTTAACCAACTAACCATTCTCATTTCCAGTAACTGGCGTTATATGTGAAAATGTTAACCTGTGAGGACATGCAGTTCAGGTCTTGAGAGAGATTATTTTTTTTTTTTGCACTGAAAAGAACATATATACCTTAATAAAGTCCTTTGTAAGGAGGAAAGTATGAGGATCTCTAATAAAATAAGCCTCTGGAATCTTAAATGGGGGGAAAGAAAAGCAAACTGAGAAACAAAATTCATGTATAAAATAAAATAAAGCCCAAACAATTACTATTTCAATAACAACATTCGTACGTTAAAACAAAAACAATGCCAGAAACAAATCTTGCCAGGCACATTCAGACTCATGTAGAAATCTTTCCAAGTTGCATACGTTCACTCAGTATTTATTTCATGCTTAATTTTATTGCATTCTTTCATGGGCTTTCAGGCTTCACAGGTTTGAAATGAAAAAATAGCAATTTTAATGCATTCTTCAAGACTTAAATCTACTTTCAGAAGTAGATTTGAAGGAGTAATTCAATAGGGAGTAGAATACAGCCCATACACTGAGATGCTTCCACTACTCAAACAGTTAATTCAAACAAAAATATATTTAAGATATATTCTTAAAATCTTTGGCAAAAGATTGCTGCTTGTCAAAGAATACTGTTTAAGATGACTCCTTATTTTTCAGACAGGTACTATTTTATTTGACCTTGTAAAATTGAGAGAAAAGCATTCATAGGAAACTAAACTGGTGGATTTTGAAATGCACTGTGCATTCTGTACCTATATATACCATGCCCTGCACTACTGACCCTTAATATTTTTCTTGTGAGCTTTATGAATTTTTCATTCGCTACCACAAAAGAAACATGAAAAAAACACCAAAAACATGGCTATCTTGGTAAATTACATTATTTCTTTCAGACATAAAATGTTAAGAAGCACAATAAATACTTTATGATACAGAAGTATCCTTTTAATCTACATATTTTGTAATTCCTACAAGCCAATCTGTTTTCCTCCGCTTCACAGCATAGATGAAAGAACAGATGTTAGAGAGAGATTTCCTACCAGGTCAGTGATGTCCACCACTCTCGATGCCCTAGATTGACAGGTATATAATGGAATACCACAAACAAACATTTGCCGAAAAAGAAACTTAATGCAAAGTCCAGTCATGCAGCTGAAGGACTTCCAATGGACTGTAGCCCTGGCACATTTGATGCTGCAATTATCCCTGTACAGGTGATTTCTTGTTTGTTGACTAATTCAGAGTGAACTTCAGTCTCCAAGGCACAGAGAGTTTCTTGGGAACTGGTGAGCATCTTGGGTTTTATTAGCATCATTTAATGATGAATTAATTTAAAATCATAGAGGAATTTTATACAAAACCAAGGCATTTGTGTGGGCATATGCATGTACATGTCTGTTTAGCAGCTATCTATATGTACCATACAAGTAATATCTCTTCACATACAGTATAGATACCTTCACTTGTGCAGAAACTTTTTATACAGGAATATAAAATTCCCTTCAAGTCAAATCAAAGGTAGTATTATCTATCACACTCAGTACTCTAGAACTGATCTGCCTGGTGGGGAGAAGGGAAGGGAATGATACTTGTTTGTGAATTTCATTTTCAAAATGACAAAGACTAATATTAACAATACCAGGCACTGCTGGCATATGCTTCCAACGCAGATCTGTCAGTAACATTTGCAGAAAAGTAATTTCCATTTTTCTTTTTTCAAATCATTATCAAGGTTAATTTAATTTTAATTTTTGAAATAATTCTGTGTTGAAATAAGAGTGTGAATTGTATTTGGCAGTAATACTGAACAAAACCCAGATCTTCCTCTCCCATCCTTTATAGTGATCCTTTAAATAATACTTCTGTTCTCTCATGGGCACATTGAAATGAATTATTAAATTATTTTTTCAGTGCAGCCCAATTCTAATTTCATGTTTACTTTCATGTTGTCTGGTCTTGGAAAATTCTGACTGTTTGGCTATAAATTCTGCACACATAAACTTTGCTGGCTTTGCCTCCCAGTTCGGGTAGATTTATGATAGTAACAGAGGAAGAGAAAGAGAAGCAGAATGCGGTAATAAACCAGCATGAATTTTTCAGATTATGAGGAATGGACACTTAAAACATAACTGTCAAAAGCAACTGTTACTTTACGGCTGAAGACGTCCTGGTAAATACTCACTTCCATACTTTATGCACCCATAATTTTTAAACATTTAAGTTAATGCCAAGTCCTTCTGTAACCAGAAAAAATGCAGAATCAAGACCTTGATGTTCGGGGAATATTGAATATTTTTGCTGGCTTGCGCATACAAGACAACCTCCATCCCCCCACCCCATGGATAGTAATGTTATCCTTTTCTTTCAAAAATACTGTTTGAAAAGCTGACAACTCTTAGAAGCATTAAAGAAACTGAACAATATTTCTTAAAAATTACCCATAGTATTCAACTACTGCACTGAGACTATAGTCTGCACAACACCACAGCTGTGCACAGCTACAACTGGTATTCCTCTCTGGAGCTCACAACAATTAAAAAGGACAGAAAAACCTTGTCAAAACTTAACACAGAAGATAAACATAAGCATACAGAGATAAAGTGACTGGCCCAAGGGTATTCCTAATGCTGCCTCCCATCAGATCTCTTGACACAAAATGAAAAGCAGGTACAGAACAGATCTGTGAATAATAATGTAATACATTGATTTGTTTACAAGAGAACTCTGGCTGTATCTGAAATTAATCTGAAAACTGGTAAGTGTACACAGCATTTTTTCTTGAACTGTAAATCATTAAACTTCAGATTTATTTAATGGTCTTAAACATTTCATTCTAATTAATCAATTCCTTTTCTCCCATCAGATCCTGAGTATTATCTGCAAAGTGCTACACCACTCCCTGAGACACACATTCTAGTCAATTTAATACAAATTTTAATAACATAAAGTTTATTCTCACTTCACCTTCAAATGTCCTTCACGTAGAAATAATATAAGCTTGGAATTCAGCGGCTGCCAGATTTAACACTTTTGGAACAGCAAAATGGCAATTATATTAGTTTTCACTTTCTTAATAAGGTGTTGCAGAGAAGATATTTAGTGAGCTGATTTGAGATTCCCTACTGTTTTTAATACACATAAAATGAGATTTGTGCTCCAGACACTTCAGGGAGTAACTGTTAGGATATGATCACGTTCTGCAGAAAGACAAAACGGGTCTTAGCCTGTTTCTTGATACTCACAGGTCAGAACAAGGAAAGAAACAATATCTGCAAACTTGCTAACAATTCAAAGTTTAAAATGAGTTAATCTCACACATCCTAATTTATGCAATCAAGCAAAACACAACTTCACAGCACTTAGTATTGGCCATTCAACAACAAGATAGAGACATTTATATTATATTTTTACACATATTTTGGTAAAGAAATTGGTATATAAAATCATCCTATCTTATGAACGATATTAATCTTAGATACCAGTGAGCAACATCCTCAATGAATTTTGCTCAAAGGAAATAAATTGTTGGGTTCCAATTCTTATGATTAAAGGCAGGTTGTACATTCACAAGGATACTGGGATGCTCCTCTGTAACCTTGAGGATCAGCCACTAGTGTCAACTTCCTGTGGAATGAAGACTTCAATACATCTGCTTTGCTCATTATGCCATCTACCAAAGTATTTGGGGTTTATTTCTTAATTCTGGTTGAAAGAAACACAAATCTGCATTAAGTAATTCAAGCAACCTGTTTCCTAAGGGGTAAGAACTATTTTAATGGTCAAAGGCAACGCCTCCAACCGCAAGCAGCATAACTCAACAGGAGCAGAGCTGCAGGGCAAAGGAGTTGGTCTAAGAATAGAATAGGATACTTTTTCAGTTGCAAGGGACCTACAACGATCATCTAGTCCAACTGCCTGACCACTGACCAAAAGTATATTATTAAGGGTATTGTTCAAATGCCTCTTAAACACTGACAGGCTTGATCACCTCTCTAGGAAGCCTGTTCCAGTGCTTGTCCACCCTCTCTATAAAGAAATGCTTCCTAATGTCCAGTGTAAACCTCCCCTGGTGCAGCTTTGAACCATTCCCATGCATCCTGTCACTGGATACTAAGGAGAAGAGATCAGCACCACCTTCCTCTTGAGTAACCCATGCTGAAACTGTGCCCGCTGCAGGGTTTTCCCATCAGATTGGCCCCAGCGTTGGCTGCAGACCCCATCAGTGGCTGAGCTCTGCTAGCTGCACCCTTGGAGCACACTGCTTCTGCAGCTTAGAAGCCCGTTCAAGCTCTCCAAAACTGCTCTGCAGTGTGAATGAAAGCATGCCAAACAGCAATGATCGGCAGATTAATTTCAGAACCACAGTCCTAATGTAAATGAGAATGCTAGAATTGACTCATCCGAAACATCACAAAAGTGAAGGCTTTCCTTGCTGCTTGGCGTACCTTTGCAAAAAGAGTAAGCCATGAAGCAGTTATTTTTTAACATACTTTTTCCTCTAAAAAAGTTCTTCAGAAATACAGGCAAAATCACCAAGGAAAATATTAATTGTCCATCTAATTTGCAAATTCCCGTTTGCTGAGAGATGCCTGGTCACTACCTAACACAAGAAATATAAAAGCATGAGAACTTTTACTTTGAATCATGGAGGGAAAAAATGAATTCCTAAAACCAGACTGCATTGCAGATACTAAGACACTGTTTTTATTCTTATGTGTAGTGGCCTTGTTTTATTAATATGCACTGATTACTACCATAGTCAGTTAAACCTTCTAAAATAAG